AAGGAGGGGACAATCTTGTACAGTCTTGAAGCTGCACCCGGAGCTCCTGGAGAGCAAAGTCCCACTGCACTTACGAGCTCCCGTAATGAACTTCACACACAGCATTTCCCTCTGGGGACAGGGGGAGAAATTTTGTGTGCGTGCGTGTGGGTGAGTGTGTATGTGTGTGTGTATGCGTGCATGCGTGTTGGAGGGGTGGGGGCCGCGAAGGGAGTTCAAAGAAGATGTTGCCCAGTATATTTTTGGGAGGGGGGCTATAATGGGGCAGACAGTGGAGAAAGCAGTGAGGGACAGGTAGTCAGGGGCAGATAACAAGGGCAGTATGGAGGTGGTGGGGCAGACAGTGAGAAACAGGCAGCCTGCCCCCTGCTGCTTCTCTACCCCCAATCTTCCCATTGTGCCTGTCCCCCTGCACCCTCAGGCTGTCCTGATCACCCTTCTCATGCCCCTCCCTACCCTTTCCCTCTCTATACCCTGCTTCTGCTCCCTGCAGTTTGGGGTCCCTGCCCACCTTTCTTCTGTCTCCACCCCTCTGACATCTCTCCCCCACTGCCTACCCCTCCACCCCCACCCCCTTATCTTTGCCCCTGCAGATTCAGGTCCCTGCCCCACCTTCCTCCCATCTCTGTTCCCCCTGAAATCTCTCCCCGACTGCCTGCCCCTCCACCCTTCCCCACTTAATCTTTCCTCCTTGCTAGTCGGCTCTCTCTGCTGCAGCCTGGGGCGCAAAGCATGGCTTCAACCTAGCCCCATTGGAGTGGTGCAGAGCTGGCACTGCTGCTACAGAGCTGGGCTGGAGCACATAATTCATGCTCCAGGCTGTAGCAAAGATGAAGTCTGTGGTGCAAAGCTAAGAAGGAGTGTAGCACAGGGGGAAAGAAGAGAAACAGTATGGGGCAGGGGGCGCTGACTGGGGAGGAGTGGCTCAGCGTGGAGAGGCAGCTGGGGGCTGGCAGCAGCTGCAGCTCCAGCTTCAGCCCTTACCCCTGCCCTCCACTGCCTCAGGCTCAATTTTAAGGTAAGGGGCTCTTTCCCCATGTTAAATAGGGGGGGGAAACCTTATCTAATGGCATAAATATGGTACATTCACAATATTGGTCTTTTCCATTAAGAAACAGAAAAAACCATACTCGCACATAAGAAGCATCTCCAAAAGCATCTAACACATCACCACAGGAAGGATGCAAATAAAGTCCTTTGTTATTTCACATTAACAAAGAGGATCTTCACATAGTGTCTCCTCTCCCTATCCCATCGAGCTAAATAATAACTAGAATTGCAGAACTGTATTATACCAATATAACAGGAATGAAACAAAGAACATAAAAATAAAGCTGAGTGCCAGTCTCACCTCTTTATTCTCCCTCTCCACCTACAATCCCTCTCTCATCAGTGACTACGCTACATAACAGGTGATTATGGCCACTTTAGAAGGTGAAGAAGGAAGATCACCAACACTGTTTTCACAAACATCAAGTTTTCACTAAAACTCTGCTTTATATGTAGCACTATTTAAAGAGGCACCTGTAGATTGCTTTTCCTGCTAAAAGTCTCATGTTTTTTCTCACTCTACAGGTATATACACTAAGGCCCCCTTGACATATTATTGTGCAATTAACTGGTTAACTGTGCATTTATCTTAAGAACAGCTACACATGCAAAGTACTTCTCACACGATAAAAAGTTACAACCAGTTATAAAGTTAGACCCTGAAAATGTGTACTTACTTTATGGTTGGTTGCTATCAAGCAATAATTTGCACATGTAGCAGGTCTTTCCTGCAGCTGGGAGCCCCATCAGCTGACAGGGCTCCCAGCTGCAGGGGTACGTCATGCCCAGTGTAAAAACCCTGGGCCCTGAGGATCAAGGCAGCCATGATCTCCAGGGCTTGGGGGAACAAAAGCATGTTCCCACTCAGAGGGATGGCAGGAGGCTGGTCTTTGGCTCCCCCTTCTCCCAGGACTTGAAAGGGAACACAGGCAACCTGGGAACAGAGAGTGACTACAAGGTCCCAGGCTGCTCAGACTCTGGACACTTTAAATGAACAGGACTGAGTGCAAGCCTCCCTGACAGCTAACCACTAGGTAGGCTGCCAGGTAGCCTTGGAGGAAGGGAAGGAGAGGACAGCATTGTGGGGTACTGGCAGGTTTAAGTAACATTCTAGATATTAAAATTAACATGGGATGCTTACATGCCACAAAGAAGTTCCACTTTCAGTGACTAACTTCTTTAAGGCAGGTTAGCCATTTTTGCAATGGCTCTACCACATTTTTTATTTTAACATCTGGCACGTTACAATTGTAACACATTAAACTCATGGTAAATCACGCAACAAATATAACATCTTCCAGGGGCTTATAAACTTCAGGCAGAGAAACAGGAGCTTTTAAATCACATGTGTGGCACATGAGTCACATTTTGATAAGCGATTCTAAAAAAGCCTTAAAAGTAAAAACTAACAAACCTCTTACCTCCTTTAGTCCAGGCAATAACAGGTTGTGGATAACCTTGTGCTTCACAAGGAAAGTCAACAGTTTGTCCCTCAATCACTGCTCTATCTTGAGGAATGACTGTAAACTGAGGCAAAGCTATGGGAGAGGGTAAAGATACTGTTTAAAAACAATTAGAAAAGGTATGGTTGTTTAAAATTATATATGATTTTCTATGTACATGAAGAGGTCTGTGGGGAACAGAATTCTTCTAGCTCTTTTAGATTGTAAGCTCATTGGGAAAGGACTGTCTCTTAGTGAACAGTGCCTAGCATAACGAGGCTCTAATCTCAGGTAGGGCTTCTAGACAGTACTGCAATACAAGTAATAAACAAGAAGAAGAATAGATCCAAAATATGATGTACCTTAATATTGGTATAATCAAGTAGGGAATGTTCTCTGGATTCAAAATATCTTGTTTTTTTCTTTCTTTAAAAAAATCAACTAAATTATGAAGAAAAACACAATGTGATCACAACCAGCCTGAGCTGTGGCTTTTCTGCTAACACACAGTGCTTTCAAACAGTAGAAAAACAGTGAAAGAAGTACAAAACCAGTCTGTGTAGTAACATGATGGTATTTCACTGTGACCAGGAATATGTTTGGCTTTCCACATATAACCATCATTAGCTGATAGGTAAGTGAAAAAAAAAAAAAAAAGACATAAGCACATGGCTCTCTATAATTTGAAAAATTATTCACTGCTTGACATGGTTCTTGCTCCAAGGAGTGTACAATCTAAAAGAAAAGTGGTACAAAAATAGCACCCCCCACACCTTTTTTGTTAACTAGAGAAAGATGGAATTCATATGGGAAGAAAGATTTTAAATTAAAAAAAGAATTTCTATTATTTTATATCCCTTTTACAAGGCCCTTGAAAAATATAACTGACCACTATTTAAAAACCTAGCAAGTAACATTCCACGTTTAAAAGAAAGGTACCGAACGTTATTTTTCCTGAAAATATTTATATGCTATAGCATTGGCAAACTTTTCTGGGAATAAATCATCATTTAAGTACAATAAAAATCTGTACTACTTTAACTTCCAGTTAACAGAAAAGCTACACTAATGTATCAAGAGGAGGGAACAACTGAGACCTACCATCATAGCAAATCAATCAGTCACTTTCACCCTAGTGCTTAGCAAGAGAAAGATGACACCCTACTCCAAGTGTATGGCCTAATCTTTGGAAATGTTAGTTGCTGTAGAAAATATCCTAGTCACTTACAAACTGGATATTGAATAGATATGTGTTTACATAAAGAAAGTCTATGGAGATTTTCATCACTAGACAATTCATAACATGAATAAATGGTATTTGGGTATACTTTCAGTAAGTTTTATTTTTGATGAAGTCCAACAAAACTTCCACTGACTGTATTAGGAACAAAATCAAGCCCTACAATGAAAAGAATACCTGGAAGTTGACAATTTAAAAATTAAAAAATAAAAATACATATTTTCTTTGAATGAATGCACAGCTTTGAAAAGACACATTTCAAAATTCATCCTCCTTGTTTAATGTTACTTACCTTGGACTATAATATAAGCAGTCGCATGGATATTATCTATGCTGTTAGTTGCAAAACAAGTATACTCGCCACTATCTTCCTGGTTCACATTCTGTATGTATAGCCCTCCTGAAGGAGTTATTGTGATTCGAGGATCATTTGGTAAAGGAGTTCTGTCGCCTTTTGTCCATGTGATTCGTGGCTGGGGGTGGCCAGTTGCACTGCATTCCAAGGTAACACTTTCTCCAACTAATACTTCTGTGTTTTGTGGATGGATCACAAAACTTGGTCTAGCTGTCAGGGGAAAAATAATATATATATATTTAAATATTGGAACACTTGTTTTCCTGAATTTTGCATGGGACAATTATATAAAATTTAACTGATTTGGTTTTGACATATTGCATGCTTTAAAAGCATATCATCAAGTTGATTTTTTTAAGTTGGGCTGATATCCAATATAGACAATTTTCTTCATACTGGTACTGATCTGATATCTACCAATGTATCAGTGCACCTCTAAGCCCTGCTATTCTTATTAAATTCCTCAGTAATTGTTATATGCCTTTTTAGTTACTTGTTGATATTGATAAAGCAAGAAAGAAATTGAGCCCCACTAAACGTTACATGTATGCCACAATTACCATGTAAATTGCATCATAAATGGCAAAGGTGCCACATGTGCACCCAATATAAGGTGCTACATGGCAAACCAGACGCAAACATTTTCCACATATAACGTATGACTTGTTTGTCTAGTCTCTTAAATTGAGAGTGTGGCAAGTCCATGTACTGGGGTTGTCCGAAGCGAAAGCCCAGCAACCAGTTGACAGTCCTAGGTCCCCAAAAGGTGAGGCTGACCATTTTGCCAGGTGTCCAACTAGCAACTAATTGTTGGCACCAGCCCCCAGGGCAATCACAGTTTTTCATCTGGGCCTCAGGCTCCTCTGCCCATAAGTTTAAACTCCTACACTGGAATTGCTTCACTTTGGGTAGCCCCAGTGAGGTTGTGGAAGATGAGGTTTCCAGAGGGGGGACTGCATATGGTAGTGCCCAAAGAGCTTCCCCTGCTGGGAACTTTAAAGCCAGCGTCCTGCAGCTCTAGCAGGAGTGCCAAGTGTGGGGAATCAGAGGGTCTCAGCAGGGTTTCCTCCACCAGCAAGTTTAAATGCCAGGCCTGCAGTTTAAAGTCCCCATTAGTGAAAGCCCTTTCGCTCTGCCTGCCAGAAGCCTCTGATCCCCCCCACCCCCACAACATATCCAGAAGCCCTACTGGAGCTGCTGAATGTGGGATTTAAACAGTCCACGTAGAAGCCCTTGAACAGACCCAGGGCTGAAAATTGCACCTCCTGCCATGCATGTCTGGCACAGGGGGAAGCATGACTGTTGAGATAGGGATCAGATCCCAGGAAGGCTTTAAATGAATGCGTGCCTGGGACCTGATGCATGGAAATAAACTACCTATAGACCAAGTACTGTTAAATGCATGAAAAAACCCCAAATTATTTTAACTGAAATATTTTAAATACCATATTTACTTGAATACAAGATGGGGGAAAATATCTCAATTGGCCTGAAGGAAAAAGCCCATCTTATAATCACATATGTATAAACTGCTGCCAAAAACAGCATGTGTTCAGCAAGAGAAACCAACAACGAAGTTGATTAAATACAGCCAACACTGAGGATGACTATCAAACACATGGCTCATATGGGCAAACATGGTGATGGGAACTTTCTTTTTTTTGTTATTGCATGTGGCCCTAAAAAAAAAAAAAAGGGTAGTTGTTTCACCAAGAGGGAACATGCACTGGGCCTGGAGGTACTGCAATACCAGGCCAGCACTTGGAGAGACTGAAACAACCTCCAAGACCCTCTGCTGGTGCCAAAAGTGCTAATGGGAAACTACCACAAGGATAGGTCACTGCAACCTATCTGAATAGGATAGATTAGTTCAGCCTATGTGGTAGTGTCCATTAAGCAGTCCTCCTTACCACTGATTCTTTTTCCAAGTCATGGTCAGCTACTACACTACATACATTTTTACTTCCTTTTCACTCCCACAGCTGAGCTGCACCTTTCTTTCCCATTTCCAATGATTCCTGCTTCTTCACTTTAAATGCCTGACAAACATCACCAAATAGAGCCCCAAACAGTTCACCCAGAATCCCTCTCATCCCCTCTTTCAGCCTGAAACATATATATTATTAGTGTGGCATGCCCCTCCACAAGGTGAAACCAGACCAGGATGCCCTGTGCCTCATCTGCCTGTATATTTTTGGACCTGGTTCCAGCCACAAGTTGGGGCTAATTAGCGCATGAATCCTTTGTGGGGTATCTGAAGTACACATAATACTGATTAGTGCTGAGCTGTCGGGTCACCATGACTTGAAATGCTGTCGAGTCTGGCGGAGCCCAGCCCAATTAACTATGTGATAAATCAGAAGCCTACTGGCTTTGGATTAATATTGTGCACAGTTTGCACTATATATAAGAAGGTGTCAAAGTGCTACTCAAAAGTGTGTTCATAGAGTATCAATACTAAAACGTGCAGCAGTTTGAAAAAAAGGTAACATGCTTCAATTCTGGATAAAGTATGTTTGTGGGTACTACATGCATATTTCTTCAGCCATATTTAACTTCAAAGTTATTGTTTTCAAATTTGTTCCTCACTTATATGTGCTCAGAGACAGCAGAGTCTGACAGTAAAGAAAGGATGAAGGGGCTGCCAGGGGCAAAAGTTGGAGGGAAGCAGAGAGCAAAGAAGCTACCTGATCCCTCAGATTATTTCCCTGTAAATGATTCAAGGCAAGCCTTCAATAATCAGATTCTATATATGGAAAATGTATAAATGTGTTATAATTTTCCACGTATACAATCTAATTATTGGGAGACCATCTTATAATCAAGGTCATCTTCTATTTGAGTACATATATCAACTTCTTTCCATTATAGCAATAGTAAGCATAATTATGACTTGAGTACTACAAAATTTTCAGATGGGAATGCAATTTTTAACGGTTGTTTTTTTTTCCTGTGAATGAAACTGAAGGTTCACAAACATGAAGCAATTAGAAGACCCAAGCACAACTCAGGAAGTATTAGGCATAACTCAAGAAGTATGGAGAAATATGGCCAAAACATTTACCTAATTGACCTAACCCACAGTTCATTACTATTTTTGTTTTAATGATTTAAAATCTGTCTCTAAAGTTATACCAGTGCACTGAATGCGAGCACCCTTCAATATCTTCTTTTTCATTCCCTCATGTACTTCTGAAAATAAACTTCATGATTCTTAATGTGACATGTAATTAGAATAGTACTCCTATAAAGGGCTGATGATTGTGCAAAGATGCAGAAGAAGTAAAAACCTGTAGAAAACCCAATGTACTTTATTTTTAAAGCGATCTCATAAAAAACAATGGTATGTGAAATCTCTTTACCTGGTGATCCAAAGTACCTAAGAGTAACTTCTTGAGTTTTCACTTCTCCTGCCACATTTTTTGCCATGCATTGGTAAATGCCCTGGTCTGTCTCTTGAGTATTCTCAATCATTAGAGTACCATCATCTAATAAGTTTAGGCGGGAATCCTCCTTCATACTGAGCTCATTACTGTAAAGACAAGAATCTTCTGAACTAAATCTTTCAAATTACAAGCACAGAAAACATATCAAAGAAGGTAAGTCTAAACATGTGAATGAAATACCAAGTTTTCTCACATACAGCACACCCGCAGATATAATGAACACCTTGTTTTTAAAAGACAGCATGAAGAAAAAAGTTGTGTCCAGAGTTATGGCTGCAAAGAGCAGGGACACAGCCTAATCTTTAGCTGACTCACTCTCCCTTTCCTGCATAACTAAAGATGAAGGCCTAGCTCCTGCTAAAAACTGGCCTCCATAGGTGGATCTATGGTTCTGAAAAGAGCTAAAGAGGCTGTGAGAGACCAGGTTCAGCTAGTAGGCAGCAAAAATTGCCCTAAGAAAGGTTAGCTTGATTAGTGGATCATCATAACAATTGTCTTTCCTTTTAAATGGTTAACACCAAAGTGCAGAACAACAAGCCATTAAGTCAACTGACTTCCTCAGCTGCCTGAACAGTAATACTACAGTGGCTGCACCATAAAGCAGAATGAAAACAGGGTGCTGATTCCAACCCCAGGAAGAAAATCAGCTTCCCTGCTTAATAGACACAACTCAAATTTGGGGTCTGGTTTTAGGGGGGAATGGTATGTGACGTATGCAGGAAAATACAGTAACATACATGAAGCAATTTTCTGTGTTTTAAATGCTGTGGCATGTATAAAAATAGAACTTTTAGTCTTATAATTAATAAAAAGAAGAGGTGTACCAAGCAAAAAGTGTACCAATTTTGAGAATGTAACATTAGGAATACAGAACCAAAAAGTCCAAGTAAGTATGAAAATATAAGTGCATATACAATTTGGGTGTAAAAGAATGACCGAAATATGCATGCTCATTCCCATCTTCTTTCAAGAATGAGAACTTCTCAGCCAAAAAAACCCTAAGTTCCTTCGCCAGTTACACTTAAGACATGATTAACCAGTTAATCACATTTGTAGTTAGAACCCAGCCACACATTCATGCAATTAATTGTGTAATAAGACAGGGCACAAGCCGCAAAGTTATTGTACAGCCCCAAGATGGGTTTCAGAAGGAAACAGGTTATAGCTATGCTCTTCAGTGCCTGAACCTGTGACTGTCCACAAGATGAATGATTTACTAGCTACCTCGTGCAATTCCAGTGCTTTTAACCCAACACAAAAAGCACAAATTAAAGATGAAGCACTTATCCATTTTGTGCAATTCCAAGAGTAACTACTGATCTACCTTTCCAAATGCTATAAAGATTGCTCAACAGACCAACCTCCATGACTGAAATCTTGCCACTTTCAACCACCTTTGCAAACAGATTTATTTTGCATTTTGGCAGCATGGAGAATGATATAAAGCCAGTGTCAATAAACATACACCCCAATTTCATACTTCTTGTTAAAACTCATTCACATGTGGATTCTGAATACATGTTTTTGTTGATTATAAGAAGTAGCTAAGCCAGAACAAATTTTAATGGAATAATTGTGACACTGAAGTTCACTACTGAAAAACAAGAATTAAGGAATTTCTATTTCCACTCTACACAGGAAACTCCCACCCCTGCCAATAGGGGCTTCAAGACCAAGATGTCATATTGTTCAATTTTATCAGCAATTGATTAAAGTTATTTTGGCTACCTTAAAATGTAAGGAGGAGCGTGTGTGGGGGTGGGGGTGGGGGGAGTGTTTCATTTGAAGCCCTTCAACTACATCAAGGAGCTTTGTTAAGCTCCCTTTTGAACAATTAGTTCCTTTGTGTGTGTTTGAAAAGTGCAGGCATTCTTCATTTTTTTCCAACATAAATACTTCTGTACTTTTCCTTTAAAAGCAATCAGTATCACCTGCCCTTCTCATACAAGAAAAAAAAAAAAGTTCCAAAAACAAAACAAATCAACCAACACCAACAGCAAGAACCAACTAAAAAAATGCACTGCACATATATAACTAAGCTGAAGGAGTGTGGGGGGAGGACAGAGGATAACATTTTTAGTGTACAATTTTTTTTTTTTTTTTTAATTTTAACCATTTCATAAGAAAACAGGATGTGCCATACTGCGTCAGACTAATGGGGCATCTAACCCAGGCTCCTGCCTCCAACAATGGCAGGGTGGATGCATTAGAGTAAGAACACTGAACCAGATATGTCTAGAGCAGGGGGGGGCAAAATGGCAGATGAGGCTTGCCCGTGCCGGTGTTGCTGGGGCTGGTCTCCATGGAAACCCTAGCCTAAACCACACTGTCACAGCCCTGCCGCTCCTGGGGTCTCCATGGAAAGCAGCTGCAGTAACATGGCAGGGGCTGCTGGGAAATAGAGTCTGCCGTGGGACCGATCTGCCCGCATGCCAGACTTTGCCCACCCCTGATCTAGAGAAATATCCCCTATTCATTACCCTCCCTACCATTATTGGTTTTGAAGTGCCAGAGGAAACATCTCCAACTGTTCTAGTCAACAATTATTAATAGTTCTAACATCCATGAATTCATCTAGTTCCTTTTTGAACCTGATTAGTCTATCTGCCTCTACCACCTTCTTGGAAAAGAATTCCACAAGTTAACTGAACATTGCCTAAGAAGTACTTTCTCTTGTTGGTTTTAAACTTGGCTTCTGCTAATTGTAGTGGATATTCCCTAGTTCTAGTATTCTGGGACTTGGCTCATATCTGTTGTCTGTTCACTTTGTCCACACTCTTCATGATTTTATAGACCTCTATTGCATCCTGCCCTCAGCCTTTCCAAATTAAAGAGTCCTAGTCTTTTAAGTCTCCCCCGGTATGACAGCGGCTCCATGCCCCTGATCATTTTGGTTGCCTTCTCTGTACCTTTTTTAATTCTATTACATCCTTTTGTAAATGAAAACACCGGAACTGCACAAGATATTCAAGATGTGGGGATAGTATGGTTTTCTATAGTGGCATGACAATGTCCTACATTTTGTTTTAAATTCTCTTTCTATTGATGCCCACCATTTTATTAGCTTTTTTGGTCTGGCTGCACATTGAACTGACATTTTTAAAGAACTATCCACAATGACTCCAAGTTCTCTCTCCTGACCCATAACAGCTAGATCAGAACAAAGCATTGTGTATGTATGTAGCTAAGGTTATTTTTCCCCAAGTTTATTACCTGGCACGTATCAACACTGAAGTTCATCTTTTTTTTTTTGCCCACTGACTTAGCTAGATAAGATCTTTCTGCTGCTCCCCTCCGTCAGTTTGGGACTGACTACCTAGAATAATTTGGTATCGTCTGTAAACTTGGAAATTTCATTGGGCACCCTTTTTCCAGATCACTGATAAAAATGTTGAGCAACAGTAGGTTCAGCACAAATCCCTGGGGGACTTTACTAATGACCTTCCTCCACCCTGAAAAGTGAGCATTTAGCTCTACTCTTTGCATCTCACCTTTTAACCAGCTCTCAATCTACAAAAGAATCTTCCCTCTAATTCCATAGCAACACAGTTTTGTTTCAAAATCTTTGGTGAAGGACCTTATCAAAAGGAATTTTCAAGATCTTTGAATTATTAAAGCAATATGTAAAGCATGGCAGAATCTGATCAGTCTACAATACTATAGCCATGCTAGATGAAATGCAAGAATGGTTAAAGCTATAAAAAATACAGAAGCACCTACCTACTGCACTTGAAAACTCCTCACTTCCACATGCAAACTGGGCAATTATATGCACATATAGGATTACCTAGTCCTTGTACACAATGCATCATTTTAATCAATCTATGGGTTTGCTTGCTTGTTCGTTTGGTGTATAGGATTTTTTTGCAAGAAACTGCAACTGAATGTCTTGCCTACAATATCACACACATGTTTTCTGAGCTTTTTATTATAAGACTGTCATGCTTTGAACCACAAAGGAACTGGACCCAATTTTAATTACTTTATATAATATGATGATGTTCTTAAAAGTGAAATACTTAAAATATATTGCACAGCAAACATATGTACAATTTCTCTCTCTCCCTCCTCCCCATGCCCTTTGCCCAAGCTTACTTGTTTCGAAGCCAGATAATTTCTGGTTTAGGATTCCCTTCAGCTCTGCAAGTGAAGTATGCTGTATTCCCTGAGGTAACGTCTACATCTTGAGGCTCTGATGTAATTCTTGGCCTCTCTAAATCAACAACAAAATGTATAAGGAAAAGCTGTTTGTCTTAAAATTACTAAAGAATGGCTAACAATATTTATATTTTTCCTATGTACCTTATAGAATAATGCTTTTTACAGATGTTTTAAATTAAACTATTTACATGCGTGATCAGGATTAAACACACTTTTCATCATATAGCACTATCACTGGTTATCTGATATCTAATACTTCTTCGTGTCAAACTAAAAAAAATACCTTTACAAATTTATATCAGACTCTGGAGCACAGTATTTATTTTAAACACACATTTTGATTTACTTTGTAAGACACAGCATTACACCAACAAGCACAGTAGCCTGCAAGGGGTTAACTGCAAAACACTGCAGCTCATAGGGCATATGTCACTCACCGCTTAGAAATTGAGTAGCCCAGGGCTATGGGAAGGTAAGTGTCATGGTGTAAGTTACACTAACTCTTCTGAAAGAAAAGATTCTTCAATGTGCATGTAAAATACTTTTTGCAAGCTTGACTGAATGTATCAGAGTCACCTAATCCCACTCGTGTCAATAAGAACTTTCACACTTTTCCAAGTCAGGAACAATTCCTTAAAACTTTCTTGATCCTATATCCATTGTACAAAAAGCAACACAGTATATGAAACAATATAAAATATCAAAACTGACTACTAAACGGTCTAACTTCCATTCTATTTGTGCTCAAATTGCTCTTTGGAGCCAACAGGAATTCTGCGTGCCCAGAAGGGAAACCTCAGATGACAGCAGTATATAATCCATTGCATATAACACACATTTATAAAATATTCTTCCAGTACACTTTTTGCTTCCATTTTCAGTAAGGATTGTTCCAGCATTTCGAGGGTCTACACCCCTCAGACAGAAACATTAATTGTAGGATTTTTGGCAATTTGTTTCTTTCTTAGCATGGTAGCATTACATTTATCCAGTATGTCTGCATAAAGGAGCTATTCTTGTCTGAGTAGAGTGAATATGTTAATTCCAATCAAAGTTAAAGTACTGTACAGGAAGAGTTATTTTCTAAAATTATTTTTATAAGTTTTTCAGTACTACGTGGAACAATAATGTCACTTGATATTCTGAAGCTGAAAGCCAGTTAAAACAGCTGCTTGGAGGAATTTACAGCAGACAAATACAGAAAGGAAAAAACTTTCCAATATGAACATATTCAGTTCTTAGGCTCCTCTCATGCCATAGGGCTTTTATCTATGTATGCTGGCTAATGACAGTTAATAGCGCTATGATACAATAACACACTGTGCGCATCTATACAAGATGCTTCAAGCATAGTAGACTAATTCTACTGTATTTTAGCATGGTGGGCAATGTGCTAACCAG